ATATATTATATATATATATATATATATATATATATATAATATATATATATTAAACGAAAATAAACGTTTACGACGTTGATGTGATGTTTGCTCGTTTACGAGAGGGAGGAGTGGGAGGGGGAGGGGGAGAAAGGGGAGGGAAAAGGAGGGGGAGGGGAGGAGTAGCGAAGGGAGGGGGAAGATAGAGGGGAAAACAGGAAGAAAATCAGGAGAGGGGAAGGGAAGAAAAAATGGAAAGAGGGAGAAGGGGGAGAGTGGGATGAGGGGAGTAGGATGAGGGAGTAGGATAATGGAATGGGATGATGGGAGGGCATGAGGAGAGTGGCATGTGAGAGTGAAATGAAGGGAGGGATGAGGTGAGTGGGTTGAGAAGAGTTGAATGAGGGGAGTGAGATAAGGGAGTGGGATATGGGAGTGGGGGATGAAGGAAATGGTATAAGAGGAGTTTGATAAGGGAGTGGGATGAGGGGAGTGGGGTAAGGGAGTGGGATGAGGGAAGTGGGATGAGGAGAATGGAATAAGGAATGGGATGAGGAGAGTGGAATGAGAGGAGTGGGATAAGGGAGTGGATGAGGGGGAGTGGATGAGAGAGTGGGACGAGGGAATGGAATGAGGGAGTTGGATGAAAGGATGCGATGAGGGAGTGGAATGAGGGAGTGGGATGAAGTGGGATGAGGGACTGGGATGAGGGAGTGGAATGATGGAGTGGGATGACTGGAGCGGAATGAAGGGAGTGGAATGATGGAGTAGGATGAAGGAGTGGAATGAGAGAGTGGGACGAAAGAGTGGAATGAGGGGAGGGGTATGACTGGATTGGGATGGAGTGGAATGAGGGAGTGAGATGAGGGAGTGGAATAAGGGGAGTGGGATGAGAGGAGGGAGATGAGGGAGTGGGATGAGGGAGTGGAATGAGGAAGTGGGTTGAGAGGAGTGGGATGACTGGAGTGGGATGAAGGAGTAGGAGGAGGGAGTGGGATGAGTGGAGTGGAATGAGAGAAGTAAAATGAAGGGAGTGAGATGAAGGGAGTGAGATGAGGGGACTGGGATGAGGGAATGGGATGAGGAGCTTCTGATGAAGGGAGTGGAATGAGGGCGTGGGACGAGAGAGGGAACGAGGGAGTAGAATGAGGGGTGGGATGAGGGAGTGCGATGAGAAGAGTGGGAGAATGAGGGAGTAGGAAGAGGGAGTGGAATGATGGAGTGGGATGACTGGAGTGGGATGAAGGGCGTGAAATGATGGAGTGGGATGAAGGAGTGGAATGAGAGAGTGGGACGAAGGAGTGGAATGAGGGAGGGGTATGACTGGATTGGGATGGAGTGGAATGAGGGTTGAGATGAGGAGTGGAATAAGGGGAGTGGATGAGAGGGGGAGATGAGGGAGTGGATGAGGGAGTGGAATGAGGAAGTGGGTTGAGAGGAGTGGGATGACTGGAGTGGGATGAAGGAGTAGGAGGAAGTGGGATGAGTGGAGTGGAATGAGAGAAGTAAAATGAAGGGAGTGAGATGAGGGGACTGGGATGAGGGAATGGGATGAGGGGCGTCTGATGAAGGGAGTGGAATGAGGGCGTGGGACGAGAGAGTGAAACGAGGGAGTAGAATGAGGGGTGGGATGAGGGAGTGCGATGAGAGAGTGGGATGAGGGAGTAGGAGGAGGGAGTGGAATGATGGAGTGGGATGACTGGAGTGGGATGAAGGGAGTGAAATGATGGAGTGGGATGAAGGAGTGGAATGAGAGAGTGGGACGAAGGAGTGGAATGAGGGGAGGGGTATGACTAGATTGGGATGAAGGGAGTGGAATGAGGGAGTGAGATGAGGGAGTGGAATAAGGGGAGTGGGATGAGAAGAGGGAGAGAGGGGTGGGATGAGGGAGTGGAATGAGGAAGTGGGTTGAGAGGAGTGGGATGACTGGAGTGGGATAAGGAGTAGGAGAGGGAGTGGGATGAGTGGAGTGGAATGAAAGAAGTAAAATGAAGGAAGTGAGATGAAGGGAGTGAGATGAAGGGACTGGGATGAGGGAATGGGATGAGGGGCGTCTGATGAAGGGAGTGGAATGAGGGCGTGGGACGAGAGAGTGGAACGAGGGAGTAGAATGAGGGGTGGGATGAGGGAGTGCGATAAGAGAGTGGGATGAGGGAGTAGGAGGAGGGAGTGGGATGAGTGGAGTGCGATGAGGGAAGTGGGATGAGTGAGTGGAATGAGGAATGGGATGGGGGAGTGTTATGAAGGGAATGGAATGAGGGAGTGGGACGATAGAGTGGAATGAGGGAGTAGAATGAAGGGGTGGGATGAGAGGAGTTGGATGACTGGGGTGGGATGAAGGGAGTGGGATGAGGAGAGTGGAAAATTTAGAGGGCGAGGATAAGAGAGGTAGTGGGGAGGGGAGTTTGGGTTGGTGTCAGGAGTAAGGAGTAATGAGGGGGAAGGGAGGGGAGGGCAATATTTCCACCAATAGCGTGCTTCTTCAAGCACAGAGGGAGGGGAGGGAGGGGGGATGACGACGATGGTGGCTTGTCTTGATGCGGGTAACGGGCTCTTGATCCCAGGAATGTCAGCTACCCTCACATTCTTGGGATCGATCCTGATTAATTTCCGCGCCCCAGGTTTTTTTTCGGGGTAGCCCTACGTTTTAGCGTTCCTCAAACACTATTAATAATAAAAATAATAATAATAAAATAAAAAATAATAATAATAATGATTTTTAATAATATAAAAATTAATGTTAAAATACTAATAAAAATTATAATAACAGTTTAAAACAAAATAATAATAATAATAATTTAATTTTAATAATAAAAATAAAAATAAATGTAATAACAGTAAAACAAATAATAATATTTTTTGTTAAAAATAAAATAATAATAAAAAATTTTAATAATAAAATAATAATAATAATAAAAATAAAAAATAATAATTAAAAATAATGAAATAACAAAAATAATAAAAATAAAAATTAATAAAGTTTTAAAAATTTAAAAATTTTTGGGAAAAACAACAACAATAAGATGTTGTAATAAAAATAATAACAACACAATGCTAATAATAAAAAATTAACTTAAAAAATAATTTTAAAAATAATAATAATAATAATAGAAAATAATAATAATATTATTAAAAAAAATAATAATAATAATAAAAATTTAATAAAAATAATAATAATAATAATAAAAGAACAAAAACAGCAAAATGTGTGATAATAATATTAATAAAATAATAACCTGCTTCCCCAAAATCTCGTCATATACATTTCTTTCACACCCAAAACACATGGGGGTCACAAAAAAAAAAACTTCCACTTGATCAAAAACGCCACACGAGTTGTTGGGTTTCAAGCCCCTAGCACTCAAAACCCTCCACCCAACTTCGTCCACCCAACCTTTTCCCGGGGAGTACCCCCCCCCATCCCCTCTAAACTAGTTTAAAACCCTCACAGTTTTTCTATTTTTCTAGATCCCCCCAAAAACCTCAAAAAACCCCCCTTGGAATTTGGATTGGTATCGTGTTTTGTGATGCTATTGTAACCTTGTGACCAGAAGGGGAGTTGGGGCCTTATAGACCGGAAAAAGATTCTCTGGCTACCCCTTGTTGGGGACGGAGGGGGACTGTCCAAGTTCTTGGTACTAACAAAAAAAAAAGGTTTTATTTTTTTAAAACCTCCAAGTGAACTGTATTAGCGTGTGTGGAATAAAAGGCACTTTTTTTTTTACTGTAGTGAATATTCATTGGGTTCTTTTTATTTTTTTCTCCGGCTCAGCATTTAGCCAAACATTTTAGGTAAATTACTGTAGTCATTTTCCCAGATATATGCGTAAGCTCCATTTCTCACTAAGTTGGGTGTTCCTATTACTTTGTTATTAAATTGTAACAGGAAAAAAACTTTTACCTTCCCCATATTTATTATTCAATTTTTATATTTTGTGGCGACTGTGAACATCTGAAGTGGCGGGGTAACTGCTAGATGTATTAATTGAAGGGAGTGTATTTGGGTTTGGAAAATCTTTTATTTCTCAATATTGAGGTATAAATGGGGGTGGACTAGGTAAAGTTTTTAGTGAGTCGGAAGAAATTTTCGAGGAAAAACGGGTTTTGTACCCCTGTCTTACCTCATTCTTCATCATTTACCTCACCACATTACTTCCCTTTATTGGAGTAAGAAGGAAATCACCTTCATCCCCGGATATAAAAATCTGAATAAAATTATGGTAACTTCACTCTTCCCCCTAATCTCCAAACTCCGAATTTTCTGAAAATACTCAGGGGCCCCACATTTAAACCCAAAAAGACAAACTCCACGCCTCCTTTCCCACGCTGCATTAAAAACCCTGCTTCCAAACCCTACAAAAAGTGTTCGTATCACCATACTTTGTAAATTTTTTTGACTTCATGGTAAAGTTTTTGTCTCCAGATGCTTTAATGACCCCACATTTTTATTCCTTCTTTAATTCTAGGTTTGCCGCTTTTTCAAAAGTTTATCTACCCCAAGTTCATACAAATATTTAAAAAAACATTTACCTCCTATTTAACCCCCCCCCCATTTCCCGCCCCATTGCCTATAATTTTTGGGGCCTCCCTTGCTCTTTCCTGTATCACTTTTAATTTTTTTATTTTTGTTTAAAACCTTCCCAAATTCCTCCCCCCAAAACCCTTTTATTTTCCTCAGAATCTCCCAAACGAAACCGTGTATCGACAAAAACAGTGTGATGTTCCCACTTGCTCCAAAGGTTATCTCTTAAACCCCAAAACCCTAGATATTCTTTTACAACCCATCATGAATTTTTAAATAACCCGGGGGACACACCAATCCCGTCTGGGTCTTTATTACGGAAAATAAATCCTCCCATTCTCCTTAATACTCGAACCTGACCCCCGCTATCCACATAAAAACTTTTACTGTTTTTTTCTTTACCGTATCACACAAATTTTGCCACCTTTGGCACGTTGTTCTCCTATCAAATTTTAAACCCCTAAATGTAACAAAAGATTTCCTTTCTAAAATTTGTACTGTTGTATGTTTATTGTTGGGTTCAAAGTTAACACTAATCTCACATCCTTTTCCTTCCCAAATTCTTTTTCCCCGTAATCTTAATTTTTGTCTTTCTTCTTTTTATTCAATAATAATTCTACGATACATTTTACCTGGGTTATTCACTGTAGCAGGCTTATTCTTCTACAAACTGTGTACTCCATCTTGTCCCTTTTTAGCCTTTATACACTAGAACTATACATACTCTTTGCCAATCCTCAGGTACGTTTCTTCTTTCATGCATGAGTGAGAGGGGTTGGATTTATGTGGAACTTGCACATAAGCTGAAGGGATTATCAGGGCTTATTGTTTGGATAGCATTGAAAAATGGGTTGGGCAGATATTTTTGTTAGTGGGTTGAAATTGAGAATGACCTACCCAGTATGGGGCAATAGGCCTGTTGCAGTGTTCCTCCTTTCTTATGTTCTTATATATTGAACAAATTAACAAAACACTCGAAAACTACCTTATTTCGCGGCTTATGAGACTTGTTTTAGTTTCAATGGCTCGTCACCGGACGTAACTGGGAGAGCTACAACCCACCCCACACCCCAGACTTATAGCTCCCGTCACTGACCTTCAGTTTCTAGGACACAGGGTGGGTGGTTTTTGGAGACATTTTATGGAAAAAATGCGTCTAATAAGCCGCGAAATACGGTATATTCTCACTTTCTCTTAACATTTCTGTCATGATTCCATCAATCCCAGCTGCTTTACCACCACTAGCCACTGCCTCATGCACTTCACACTCACTCTTTATACTGACCAATACACGAAATAACTGCCTTCTTTACTTTCTCAATATTTAACAGCTCTTCGGATATTCCCTATATTCCCTCTGTCTCCCCGTGAAACATCTATTCTCTTTTGTTTTCAACTGTTTAATTCATTTGTTCCCTAAGCTAATTAGTCTCCTTCCATTTTTACTAATGTCTAACAAAAGCTTTCATTGGCTCTCCTTTTGCAATCCCTCATCACTCTATTATTCTCCCTTTTTCTTTTCATGTACCCCCCCCCCCCTTCAATCTATACTTAAAAAAAAAAATCTATATGCATTTTATCCTCCTTTCATTTACCTCCCAATCCTCCACTAAACCCTTTTTCCCAACCTACACCTACTCCCCAATTCAAAATTTCTGCTGTCACCAAACATTGCTTTCTTAAATCTATCCTACACCTCTTAGGTTTCCCTCCTCTTTAAATAACTCCCCTCTAATGCACCTTTCTCCCAATTGTTTATATCTTACCCAATATTCCCTTTTTAATTTTTTCATTTTCACTTTCCCTCTTCCACTAATACATTGTCTTAGGCCCCACCACCTTTTACTAAACCTTAGCTACCCCCAAAATTATATACACTATTGCCCCTTTAAAATATTCACACACGAAGTCGCTAATCATCCTTTGTATAAATTAGTACAAAGTCTAAAAACCCTTGTCAAAATCTATATATATCTTGGTACCAACCTTTTTTTTTTTAAAAAATTATTACGTTTTACCAAATCCCTTTCCATACATAAAATTTCCCCATTAGATTTGCCCCTTGGGTCTCCAGCTCGTTTACCAAACCTTTAAACTTTTTAAACCCCGTAGCATTTAGGGCCCCCCACAACAATATTTTCTCACATTAATCGAACCCCTAAACATTTGTTTAACCCCCTCCCAAAACTTTGTCTTTTCCCCAGGTGCATAAAATTATATAGCCAACTCCTATCATCCCCCCTTCTTGAGTTTCAATTTTATACCCACTTATTTCCTTCCATAGATGAAAAATTTGATTTTCACGGGAAAGAATTCATAAAACTTTCCCGGGGAACTGAAAGGAAATTATAATTTGAAACTCAATATGTGTTACATTAATGCTAGGGGCATGTGTAGTACATAGTGATTTTGTAAAATTTAAAGTCAAGATGTACCGTCATCTACGTCTTTTATGAGACAGAGAACAGAGACGCCAGCAATACTCCCAAGTAAAAAAACATTTAACAAGTTTCCACTTCATACATATTTTGGGTAAAATGGTAATACCCCCGATGTTTGACGACTCCCTGCTCATACACCCACCACACACCACAACACACAACACACACACACACACACCACACACACACACACACACACACACACAAAGCACCGCACACCACAAAGTGCTGGATGGGTACATATAACCAAAAGGGGGTGAAAAAGCTGCATGCGAACTTGACACCTCAAAGGCGGGGGGACCAACAACTCTCTCCGGGGTCCTTTAAAAGGGGGAGCAGAATACTGCGTTGCCTAAAAAAGATCTTAAACACTAAATTTGAAAGGGGCAACTCCCTAGGTAGGAAGATGGCAAATGTAGTACATTTTTAAAAAGTGAGACAGACATGAGGCATAAACTCAGACCTGTATCACTAACGGTATAGTAGAAAAGTCAGGAGAAGATCATCAGGGGGATAGGGGTTGACACCTGGAAAGAAAAAAGGAAAATTTGACAACCACACGGTTCGGGGAAGGAAAATC